AGCACTCCTGGCCACATCGGCAAAGCACTTGTGTAACACTCGTGGTCAGGAAAGAGCGACTAGTGGATTCTGAACAGCTTTGCACTTTCCACCGTCCTTGTGCGGCTAGAAGTCCCTTTTTGCACCCAGAAGCGGCGTGGATTGGAATTCCAAAAATAAGAGCAGATGTTGGTGTGAATGAAGCGTACTATTGATTGGTTTGTGTCCAGGTTGCTTGAAACATATTGGAAAGATTGGCGCGGACAATCGACGGTGATGGGTTCCAACACGTTCCCGAGAAGCCAAACAAAAAGTTGGAGGTAAAGGACGGGAAGAATGAGACAGCGCAGGAACCCTTGTGCCTCGAAGATACTATGTCCACACGCCACCACTCACTGACCGACCACTGTTTGCTACCTTGCTACTAGTAGCTGTTTGCTACTAGTAGTTTTTGCCAAGAGCTACAAGTAGTTTCTTTGTCACTAGTAGCGATGCCCCAATTACTAGGAGTTTCTTGTTACTAGTCCTTTGGCTCTCAGGTCATCCCGAAATTTTGAAGACTTTGGTTTGTTCCAGGCCAATTCACTTCCTTGGAGGAAGAAACATCAGATTCCGAGTCACACTCAGCTATTCAGACAATATGTTGCTGGATTCCAATGCAGTTTTCCTAATTCCCTTCCTATCTCCCCCGAATTTCCCCTCATGTCTTTGGATTACCTTTGACATATTGTCCGTTTCGTTTTTTCGCTCAACTGCGTGTTCCGGCTGAGCCGCAGGTGTTCTCAAAGCCGGAAGAGCTGAAGACCCAGGTCCACACCCAGGTGCCGTTTCGGGTGACCCGTTTTGAACTGTTTGAGAGAGAACCGAAACGATGCATTTTTTGCAAAGTGTCCATGTTTTGTTGGTCTAAGGCTAAGCTTTTTGTCTTGTTCAACCCATCAAGATGTGAAGTCGTAGAGATGGGATTGGAGAGGATTAGTAGAGGAATTGAAGTCTGTGATTTGTGCCGTAATCCGTTCCTATGAAGCAAGACTAGCTAGATTAACCCCTAGTAAATATTTGATGCAGTTTTCTCAGAAGTTGATTTAGCCAACATGGGTGTTAAGCCATTTGATATTCCTGTGGATATTTGGCAACTAAGGGGTTGAGTGGGGTGTTATCCGCCTTGGAACATCATTTTCGATTTTGCTGGATGAAGGAAGATAAAGGGAAGAGCAAGAAGCTACTAGGCGGAGGCCATCGCTATTAGGTTGGAGGCCATCGCTATTAGTAACAAGAAGCTACTAGCTATTTGCTACTAGTAGTAAGGCCAGGGGCTACTAGTAGCGTCCTTGTTCCTAGTAGCAATGCCCTTTGTTACTACTAGCTATTTGCTACTAGTAGATTTCAATTTTCAAAGCTCGCTTTGGGAGATGACTTTTTGGGCTTTAGACCCGACCGACTGCGTCGTGCCGACACAAGCATCGTCCACATGCTCCGCAGCTCCGGGAGTCCGGGACCGTGGTGAGCCGGGGGAGCCGAGCGGGCCGGCTGCGGGTGTCCGGTTCAAAAAGTTATGGTTGGTGTGAAGCTGATTGTGAAAACCCATACAGTGTTTTCTTTTTAGACTTCAAACCAAATGCAAACCACATGCGATCAGAGTGCTGTGGATCTGCGGCGGCAGATGCGTGTGCCGAAAGGGCACAGGCAGATGCGTCTTTCGGTCGATTGAAATGTCTGTCACACTGTGATAGACCGGTCATGTGGTGCAGACTTTGTTGAATCACTCTGTTGGTCTCTCGCATAATGTGACTAATCTGGAACCAAGGCCTAGCGGATTTGCACAATAAGAGCTCCCAGATGATGCGTACCATCGGCCAAAAGGCGGGACATCACAGATAAAAAGAGAGGGGAGGAAACCCACGGCCCATGTAAGATCCTGAATGTTCCAACTTCTCTCAAACCAAAAGTGACTATAGCCTAATAGCGATGCACTACTCAGTCTGTCTCAGTCCAAGACGATTAGACGGTCCCCCAACAAGTCACAAGGTGGAGATGCAAAAGATGATCAGTCAAGATGTTGACGAAGAAAGTAAAAATAGATAAAACAAAATTTAAAAAAAGTCTAAATTCCAAAAGAAAGGAAAAAAATCTAAAGTGCAAGACCCTTTTTTCCTTTGACAGGAGCAGGGTCCACAGTCATGGATCTATCAACCCAGCGGAAAACTCAAAGTACATCGGTGCCCCATGTTGCAGGCGCCCTGTGACAGATCGAAACAGAAGCCTCTCCTGACAAAAGGGAGCAACTGACAGGTTCTTGCTTGCAGGTGATGCTCCTGTAAAGACTAAAAGGTTGCTTTCTCGGACTAACCTACGAAACATGCTCCATGATGGTTCATCGTGCTCCATGACCTGTCGACCCACCTGGGTCACGCAATGGCAGGTGGACGACCGAAAACGCCGACGCTCAGCGGCAAAAGATGTTTAGCTTTTTCGCATTGGTAGTTGTTGTCAACACTCGGCGAAAGGTTTTTTTTTGGGTGGCTTCTTGTTCTTTGCAATGGAACATGTTTGTCCTTCGAGATTGCATTGCACTTTGCTTATCCTTCCCTCTTCACATATTTTCAGCGTGACAAAGCATGAATCACATGAAACAGTAACATACATACAGTAGCCGTCTTCTAGAAGAACAGTAAAAAGTCTCTTATTGATTCTTATTGCATGTTTCCCCTTTGTTATCACGAAGTGAATCAGGACCAAAAAGCAATGAATCAGGACCAAAGATCGCTAAGCTCGGAGGCCATCCCTAGTAGCTTTGATCAGTCACGGCCTCGACTCGTCCACCGAGGACCCAACGGCGTCTCGGGAGCCCTCACGGCGCCCAGCTCTCCCACCGCCTCGCCGGTGAACCGACGGCACTCGGCACAGTCGCCCACCTTCCCGCGGATGGAGGCCGGGGAGAACACGGGACGAAACGGGCTGTTGGCCCCGACCCCTTTGAAAAGGATCTGTGGAAGGGAATTTTGGGGGAGGAAGCTGCCAGGGGTTGAGCAGTGATAAAGCCAAAGCTGCTGGTGGGAATTTGGAGCCTCTTTGCACCAAAACGAAGAGCAGCGCTGCTGCAAAGTGAATGATGAGGCCAAGGATGTAACGTAACGGAGTCATTGCATTTTGCATCCTGTCCTTCGTGTCTCGTTCGTGTCGAAACAATCACCCCAAGTTTGGAGGAACTCTGTCCCAAACGATCCAAGCGGAGGTCTGTTTTGGAAAAGGGACGAAGACCATTTGAGCTTTAAAAAGCTGAGGCGGTCACTAGCAGAGCGACGAAGTACCGAACTACAGATGAAACCAACTGAGTGCTGAGAGCTGAATCACCTGGCAACTTCGATTAAGCTAAGTCAACATATCCTTATTGTCGAAATTATACCAGCATAGACCCCAAACAGCTTCAAAACGATTCGTTTAGACCAATATTAGTCAAAAAATCGATTTCTTGGTACGCCCTACCTTCACCCCAAGAGCAAACTGTTTCATCAATGAATTTTTGTCGGCATTGACATCGCTATTTGTTCGGCCACACTCCTCTCCAGTAAGCCGGGCCACAGAGACCAGCCACAGAGTTCAGGGGCGCGGCCAAGACAAGGACAAGAGGAGGACAAGACCCGGACACAGAGCCCAGCCACAGAGGAGGAGGACAAGAGGAGGACAAGGCCCAGCCACAGAGGTCAGCCACAGAGGACAAGAGGAGGACAAGGCCTGGACACAGAGCCCAGCCACAGAGTTCAGGGGCGCGGCCAATGAGTGTGGCCAGCTCTTGGCCAGCTCTTTTTTTCTAAGATAGAACCCAACGGTAAACTGCTTGGGGAACAAGGACTCTAAGGAACCTAATAGCCAAGGCCTCCAACCTAGTAGCAATGGCCTCTCCAAGTCGCCAAAGTTCTTCGCACTTTTTCACGTTGAAAAGCAACTTACTTGGCTACTAGGAGCAAGGACGCTACTAGGGGCTCCTGGCCTTTCTAGGACAAAGAAGCTACTAGTAACAAAGGGCATCGCTACCAGGAAAATGCAACTTATTTGACCGAATCCGAACGCCCCAGGGTAGCCCTGGTGGACGGAGGTTGCACTCCGCGGAGGGCCAGGTGACTGTGGGTGAAGAGCAGGGCGAGAGCGGTCGGTTCTTCCCCACACAGTCCAGGAGTCCATCAGGAATAAACAGGAGGGAAAAACGAAAAAGAAGAACACGCTTCTTCGTTGTCTATTTGTGCCCTTGGCCCTGCCTCCTTACTTAATCAAGTAGGCGCCTACTTATTCGAGTAAGGGAGAAGCTCGCTCCTAGCAACACTTAAGCTATAACCTACTGGACGTAGGAGAGCTCACATTTCTTCAAGGAAACCCCCCCTGGCGGGGTGGAGTTTCCTTGAAGAAGCACTCGCGCTAATGATTTGGTTCCTAGAAACCTACTGTGCAATAGTTCTGTGGTCATTCTTCCTCGCTTTGTCCTCATGTTTTTCCTCATGGGTTTCACCAAGAAATCTCAAGCGGTCGTGCTATAAAGAGTGTTTTCGTTTGCACCAAACATGTTGTAGAGCAACAAAGACACCCCGAACTTTGCAAATGACTGCAGTCCCTGGTTGTTATTCTGAGTGACTTGATGACATCTGACCACATTGCTGGTCATGTTCCTTTCCTCCAGCCGCATTGCACCGGGCAACTTCCAAGCTTCAAAGGCGGTGTGAACTCACGAAAAGTGTATTGGCCTTGTCCTCCGGCTCAGCCATTGGTTCAAGAGATTTTGACATTTAAAGGAAATGAAGACGAAATGCTTTCTCTTAGGTTGGAGGCCATTCCTATCAGGTTCCTTTTGCTATTGGCTCTAAGAATGCTGGTGTGGCCATTACAACTCTTCCAGTCCCTGTAGCTGGGGAACACGAAGCTTTTCTTGCGGCATACCCAATGCCTGCCACAACTTCGGTCAATGCTGAGGAGCACTCACCGATGAAAGCACTGCGGTGCTCGATGAAGTTGAAAGTGTTGGTTCGGATCGCGCAATTCCACGACCTCTTCGCACCGACGAAGTCGTTGGCTTCACAGCCGTGCGCGGACGTCACCCCATGGCGTCATGGTGGTCCAGTGGCAAAACAGTGAGCAAGTGGTCAAGGACGGGCTTTGATGATGTTTTTTGAAAAGCCCGGGCGAGCTACTAGCTACTAGCTACTAGTTAGCTTCTAGGTAGGGCGCAGGCCTCCAACCTGCCAGCGATGGCCTCCATCCTAATGCTCCCAACCTAATAGTGGTCAAGGACGGCCTTTGACAAAAAAAAGATCGAGCAAAGGGCCCTGCCCGAAGTGGTTGCAGATGCTTAGGAGGGAACGATCAGGCATCAACTTGAAGTTGTTTTGTTGTGTTTTTAACCTTCCACACCCGGTCCGCTCATCCCCTTAACTGGTGTGGGATAGTGTCCTGTCCGGTCCGTGTTAGGGATTGATCCTGGGTCCGATGTATTGAGGGATGCGTCACTGGACCCTACCGTCTGAAAGTGCTGTTGTTGAGCAGACGATCCGTGTTGGAAGCAGGGCAACCAAGGGGAGCACCCGCAGTTTCTAGTTAGCTCTGGCACATCCATTTGAAGGAAGAAAGTCGTTGTTTGCTCAAGCACAGGTGATTTTCGGTGTCTGAAGAGTGTACGGGATCCTACTCTAGCGACTACAGAGTCTTCCGGTCTTCCTTTTTAGACTTGTAGTTTCGATTGCGTTCTTTCGGAGATTTCGACCGGCATAAAAACGGTCCGTTCGACCGACCCTGCAAAAAGGGTCATGACCTGTCCGGCGGAAGTGAGGAGATTCTCCAATGCTCACCCGCTCGATGCAGCTCAGGCGGCGCTCCAAAGAAGGTCGAGCATGGTCGAGCACATTCTCCCCTTGTGTGAAAGATCCGGAGAGATGTTGCCAACCAATCGAAATGGATTCCAGGTCCATTCACATGTGTCTCAAACGAATCGGACCAAGTTTTAAGGAGGCTGCTTGAACTCCTGCAAGTGACTTGAGCTCCTTATTGACTTGCCAGGGACATGGAGCTATGACAATGTGAAATTTAGCATCGAAGATGACATCGCTCAGGCGGGATCTCTGAGAACGTGGGGTTTGAATAGTGTTCCAGGGATATTTGGCAGTGCGCATGTTACAATAAGCTACTAGTAACAAGTGCATCGCTTCTAGTAACAAGGGCCTTACTAGTAGTAACAAGAAGCTATTAGGGTTAAGTGTAATTAGAATCTTGTTACTACAATCAACCAATAAGCTACTAGGAACAAGTGCATCGCTACTAGTAACAAGTGCCTTACTAGTAGTAACAAGAAGCTATTAGGGTTAAGTGTAATTAGAATCTTGTTACTACAATCAACCAATAAGCTACTAGGAACAAGTGCATCGCTACTAGTAACAAGTGCCTTACTACTAGGAGCAAGAAGCTAATAGAAACAATAATTAGTAATTATGTTTAATTCTAATTTACTTTAATTCTACTAGCTTCTTGTTCCTAGTAGTAAGGCACTTGTTACTACTAGGTCCCATGCCCATCAAGTCCGTGTTCCAAAGCTCGACCTTTTGCCACACAGAGGTGAAGTTGGACGATGCCCGAACAGGGAATGCGCTGTCGCTTGGAGTGAAATGGGACCAGGGATTCACAGAAAGTGATGCAAAAGAGGTAAAATGGAGAAATGGTGAAACATTTGTCCTTGGTGTTCTTGTCCAATGTGGAACATCGGTGGGCCCATAACGGGCCCGCACTGACTGAGTCCGGTCGGGAAACGCTGGCAGCCGCTCGCTTGTCAACCGGGGCCATGCGTGCTGTGTTGCTCCAAGGAGGCACAAGACCGTCCGTGCCCTGCTGGATCTTTGCATCGAGCTCCACAGACGACCAGAAGACGCTCGGAAGATCATGCGAGGAGGTGTTTGACAGATGAAGAAGCGTGTTGGCTCCCGCTACGTACTTGATCCCGAACAATCAGGGGGAGTTAGAAAGATGGCAATCTACGGGACCAGACCTCGAGTAGTGCCCCAAGAAATAGAGAAGCCTGGGTCGACTCCCCTGGCAGTTTCTATCGGCTGAGGGTTTGTTCAAGACTGGAAAGCCTGCATGAATCGCTTGCAACAAATGTGAAGGACCCAATTGCGGTGAAAGTCGTGGCTCATCTCCGCAATAAAACACACAGGAAGAATCATTTGATAGCAGCTTTGTTTTCTCACCGGGAGGCACACCCAAAGAAACGTGGAACGTGGGACTGGCAACATGGGCAAGTTTCCTATCCGCAATTACAAGTTGATCGTTGAGTTTCCCCAAGAAAAGAGCTCAAGTGGCTCACATTGATATCTGCAACAAGACTCTATTTGCTCATTTCCAGTGAGAGAAGTTCGGTTTGTCCGCAAAGTGGCTCTCGCCAAGCGAAATGGTGGCGAGGTCAAAGTCGTGGTTTTCACGGCCAGCGGCTTCTACTTCTCCTCCGGCGGCGCATTTGGTGGCTGGGCTTGGAGGGGGTCCATTCCTATTCGGAACCTGATTGTAATGGCCTCCAACCTGCTAGCGATGGCCTCCAACCTGCTAGCGATGGTCTCTAATGTGGCTTATGAAGGAGGCCCTTCACTTTTTTGCCCTCATATTGTCCTCATTAAGATCTTCTGAGAAAGCACCCTGGTGCATGGTATGAAGGCATTCCTAGACTTCCAGGCACAAGCACACGGTGTTAAGATGTTTCTGTGATGTTCTTTTCAGGTGCCGACATACCAGAGGACGATATTAACTTCGCGCCGAAGCTGAAGCCAGGCCAGCTTTTGGTTTGAGCTTCTTCATAACCCGAGTGCGGCCACGTGTGTGCTCCGCCGCATGATTTGTGCATTTGGGGGTCTCCAGTTTGGAAGGGATCGAAAGCCAAGTCGCCAAGAGAAGACTGTGCCACAATATACCTATATAGCCTATGTTGAAACAGACTTAGTAAACTGACGGCAAATCCAGGACTCGAATGACCACAGTTCCTCCTCTGATGCTCCAGGGTTCCAGTTCTGCTGAGCAAGTTGGGTCGGCAGGGGCTGCGCAGGTGCCAGCCAATTTGATGCTGGAGTGGCAGAAAACCTGCTTGTCGCCCATTTGTTGTTGCTCGGTCGATCTAGTGCAAGAGGGAATTGTTTCAAGGGTATGAAGTTCTCGCCTTTTCATCCTTCTTAACGACGTAAAGCCAAACTTGCGATTGGGCTGAAGGTGAATAGCAATTCTTCTGACAGTGGATGCATAACGCATGGTCAGAATCACTCAAGCTCGAAGTCGATTGAGGATGGGTATGCGGGAACGCGGTGGATCAAAAGGGTGATTTTTCAACAATGCCGGGTTCGACGGGGGATCAACAAGCTTTTGACATTTCGCGTATTACATCATACAGTGAGGTCTTTCAACCCACTTAGGTGATCCACTGCGTGTTTGTAGGCTGCCAGAAATCTCCTCACAGAAGCTGGCCGCCCAGCAGCGACCCCTCGACCCCTCGATACGAATCCGACAAGACACCCACGCGTCGAGGGTTTGTTCTTGTTTCGTGTGCTTCGGTGCATTGGTTTGGAGTGGCCTTCATTGCATAGCTTCGCTCATCACCTAAGGTGGGGTCGCCACTGCATAGACTTTAGATGCCACAACAGCGTCCCGGTCACAGCACTGTTTGGTTTCACTCCAATGGTGTTTAGCCACTCCAAGGTATTTGCTGAGCACGCTGCCTCAATACAAGGCGAGGAGAGAAGTGCAGATGCAATCCATGTTCCGAACGCGATACTTGCACCCCAAACACCCACAATAGCTCAAAAAAAGACTCGTAGGCCTTGACATCGTCCCGTTCCCATTGATCCATCCTATTCAAGAAAAAACATAAAAACAGGAAGATATCAAGGCTAAAGATGTTTATGTGGAATTCAAGGAGTTCAGCACTGGGTCACTCAGACTTACTTGAGGCGTCACTTCTAACAACACGAGGACAGAACACGGGCATTTGACTGTGAGATTTCAGAGGTACGAGGAAGGCGGTTGATGTATGCGATGTTCAGGTAGCAGCCATCAGGGGCAGCATTTTGGGTGCTGGCATCAGCTTGGTTGCAGCTATGGATTATGTGCTGGCGCCCGAGAGCAGGAGCCCTGACGACGAGCGGAGCAAGCAAACAAAAACCCAACATTGATGGGACAAAGGAGGTTTCGTTGTATTGCTTCCCTTCGAAGGGCCGTTCCTATTCGCTAAAACGAAAGGAAGTTTCTGGGGTTTGCTAAGTCTCAGTTTGCCAAATCTCTCTCTCACAAGTTTTCTTTGTTCGTTTCATTTGACGGGTCACATGAGTGAACGTCCACCAGTCGAAGATTGCGAGCTGCCATCCGAGGACCCAGCTGAGTTTCAAAGAGGCCACTCGAGGTTTGGGCGCGTGTTGCTCCTGGCAGGCCACCATTGCAAAGCTGGGCACCTTCGAAGCAGCAACTGGGGTTGGCAGGTTAAGATGGATAAGACCACAAACAGGGCTGGTGAGTGCATAAAGGAATTCGAGCCATAGACGCCTGCCCACACGGTTGTACCCACCCAAATGGTTCGCGACACGAGATAAAACTTCCTCAAGCCCAAGTCCAAAAGGAACTGCTTGCACCACTTAACGAACTAGCCCAGAACTGCAAAAGACAAGATAGAACCTGGATGCCTTGTCCGTTTGCCTTGTGACAGCACCTTTTCCTTTCCGTCCTATTCCTTTTAAGGCCAGGAGCTACTAATAGCGTCCTTGCTCCTAGTAGCGATGCCAGGAGCTTCTAGTAGCTTCTTGTTTCTAGTAATAAGGCCAGGAGCCCCCAGTAGCGTTTGACCGCTCCTAAGGCGTCCGGACCATGCGACGCTTGTGTTTGCTGGCAGCAGACGTGAATGCCTTTCAAGCTAAAGAGCTCAAGCCACTTCGACTGGAGACGCGACAGACCGGGCATGGCTTACAGGGCCTCGCCAAGTAAATATGTCACAAAGGAATCAGTAACAGCAGGCTTATTTACCTCGCAGGTGCTGTTCTTCCTTGTCGTTATAGTTGTGGCAGCAAAACTGAGCTTCACTGACCAAGGTTGGTCGACGAGATCATCGCCGGCCCCACCTCTCAAGCTTTTGGTGAGGCCGATGCACGTGCCTTGGCCAAGGCGGGCCACATGTGTCACCCCTACGTTGATATATCAGCCTACTAGCCGCTAGCCTCCAACTTACTAGCAAACTATAGTTTCTCTATTTCTATGGCCTCCAACCTAGAAGGAAATTGCCAAAGGCTTCAAACTCCACCGGTAAAGCTTCGTTGGGTGACGTCATCTCTGACCAGGCCCAGCAGGTCGCCAGCTGGACCACAGAAGAGCGGCACGCACGGAAATGCACTGGACACTTGGCAAGCGGACCGACCACGTTAGTTTTTCAATAGTTTGGTTCCTAAATTTTTAGAAAAACTTGATTTGGTCCACTATGGGATGGCCTACTGTGGCCCTTATGGGGTGCCAATATGGCCTCCGAAAGATGTGAAAGATGGGGCGCCTTTTGAGTCGACCCTAGAAGCGTTCTCAATTGGAGTAAATAGCGCATTCCGGACGGCATAGGCTTTTTAAAGGCGAGGGAAAGTAAAGAAAGCATCGTTGGTAGATGGGCATTGTTTGAGGAATGTTGAGTGTGTTTTGGTTTCCTCTCTCTTCACAGTGATTTTGATGGTTGGAGCTTTGCTGGCTTGTTGAAGCCAGCACCAAAAACAAGAAGCTACTAGCAACATGGGCATCGCTACTAGTAACAGGGGCATTACTACTAGTAGCGAGAAGCTACTAGGAACAAAGGGCATCGCTACTAGGAGCAAGAAGCTACTAGTAGCTCCTGGCATTGCTACTAGTAGCAAGGACTCTTTTAGTGTGTCTTTGAAACTTCTTAGTAAAGCTTTCAGTGTGAACTGTTCTGAACCAAATTCAGCTGTTGAAGGCCCTGGCAAGGCACAACCCTTGGAGCTTTGTGGAGGCGGGTCTTCGAAACGGAGAAATCGATGAAGCTCGCGCTGCCCAAGACGTTTTCATAAGGATGAAAATTTGACCTATCGGACCTATCTGACCTATCAACTTTTGGAAAGCAAAGATAACTCCAAAAAGGCGGAACCTTTCGTTATTAGGAACAAGTGCAGCGCTTCTAGTAACAAGTGCCTTACTAGTAGTAACAAGAAGCGAAATGTGTTTACATGTTTTTACTAGCTTCTTGTTACTACTAGTAAGGCACTTGTTACTAGTAGCGATGCACTTGTTCCTAGAAAGCAAAGATAACTCCAAAAAGGCGGAACCTTTCAAGCGAAGTGCAAAATCCCACTGCACAGAAAGGCTTGATGACAGAGGCGGCTGATTTGGAGGCTTTGCTTGAGGAGGCGTCGCTCATGACTGACAGTAGCCATGGGACGTCCATATGTTTGAAGCCGGGTGAGAGAGTAGATCACCCAAAGGACCAATGGCCTCCAACCGCGATGGCCTCCAACCTAATGGCGATCATCCAAAGGACCAATGTGTGAAGTGCAGCCATTGAACATTTGTGGCGAGACTCGCTACCATCAGACTTCACACTTCCCGTGTCCAAACCATCGGGAGGAACTAACGATCCAATGAAGGTTTTTTCGCTGTGATTTGGTGCTCCAAAAAGCCAGGTGCTGAGCAGCTCTGTCGTCCCTCGTTTGGGGCCTGCCAGATTCAGCAAAGAGATGTGGCCACACAAGGCGCATCGCGGCGCGTCAGTGAAAAACTCAGCTGCTAGGGGCTCCTGGCATCGCTACTAGGAACGAGGACGCTACTAGTAGCGATGCCCTTTGCTCCTAGTAGAAACACCGAGATGATCAAATCCGGCTGTTTCTAGGGATTCGACCATTGGAGCTTTTACTGAAGCGCATCTCGTAAAGAGGACTGATCATTTTCTCACAAGTACATGATGTGGTGAACTTGACCAATGTTCCATTCATGCTTTGATGTTTTGGCTTTCTCCCTTTGATACTGTTGTGGTGGGTACTCAAAGGTCGTTTGTTTGCACTCTTCTCTACCTTTGCCTGGTCATTCTCACGCCTGCAGGCGGTAAAACTGCATATGGCTGGTCAGCAACATGGATGTGAGGGCTAAACGGGGCTAGGTGAGCTGTTCCCACAGCTTGTTGCTTCTCAACGCCCGGCAACCTGGAGGGAAAGTCACGACCATCCACCGAAAACTTGAGCAACTCGGAATTTGGGAGAGTCCCATTGAGCTACTCGCGGATGCTGATTCCCCAGCTGGGATGTACAACAGGAAGAGTCTCCCACAGACAATAGTCGGGCAGTCGCAACGTCCATTCCAAACATGATACTTGGTAGCGATGCCCTTGCTCCTAGTAGCGAACCTTGCTCCTAGTAGTAAGGCCAGGAGCCCCTAGTAGCATCCTTGCTCCTAGTAGCGATGCCAGGAGCCCTAGTAGCTTCTTGCCCTTGTTGTCGTGGGACACTTGCCCGCAAGCAAGTCTTGCTCTTGGCCTTTCGGGAAATGTATTTGGAGCAAGGGCATGACCATGTTGCACGGCGCTGGGCTGAATACAAGCTACAGCATTCTTGTAGCTACACCAGAGGCAGATGCTGAGGCCTGAAGTCTTCTGAAATCTTTGCGTTCGGTGTTTGCCCGACCTTGCAAAAGAATGCAAGAGTTCTCCATAAGTTTGTCCAACAGGTTGACCAAATATTGAAACCTTCAGGGGGAGTTCAAGCTACTAGTAGCTAGAAGCTACTAGGGGCTCCTGGCCTTACTACTAGGAGGAACAAGAAGCTATTGCCGGGCAGTCATGAAGTCGAGAAGTGTTGTGAGGCATGTAGCGGCGTGGCAGCCTCAGCGTCAGTCAGCACGGGTGCGATGGGAGCAGTCACCGGTATCTCCCAAACCGAAAGCCGTTCTTGAAAAGAAGAAAGCAGGTTGGAGCCCATTGCTAGTAGGTTGGAGGCCATTGCCAGAAAGCCAGCAAAGTTCTAAGATCTAAGACCTAGCATGATAGTTCGATAAGACGCACCATGTCCTAACGGCCTGCAAAAGGAAAGAAACGCATCAAAAAGAATGAAACGACTGAACAAAGCAACAAAGATAAGACCCAGAGAAGATCCAAAAAGACGCTAGTAGGGTGGAGGCCATCGCTATTAGGTTGGAGGCCATCGCTCGTAAGCCATCGCTCGTAAGTTGAGGGCCATTGCTATCAGGTTAATTTGAACTGATTTCACTGGAAGTGATCAAAAAACACCTAGGCCATGACACGTTCAAACCGTACACGGTGCAGCAACACGTCACCGGAAGTCGAGGCTTCACTTGAACGAGTGCGACGAGTGCGACGGCGAGCCGCACTCGGCTCTGGAGGGTTTGCTGGCCGCCTTGGCGGAACTCCACCGCACTCCGCCGGGACAGGTGGGACAAGTCGGGTAAGCAGAGTACTCCGAAGATCCCTTTAACACGTGGAGTTAGTTCTAGGCATTCAAGAAAAAGTAATTATGGCATATCCGATCATCAAAGTCAGGAGCAAAAATGTCAGAAAACACTCGTTGCTGAGTGACTTCTTTTTCAGCCTCTTTCAATGGTCCGTATGGATCGTCTCCGCTGCGAGGTCCGTTTGGTCCAGGTCTCCTGCGACGCTTCGATGTCTTTGGGCTGCGACCTCCCGAAGCTGCAGCGGGCGCCGTGGCGCGACAGCGGCGCGTTGCGCTGTTCGACGGCTCTGAAGGGATTGTTCCTAGTAGCAATGAACTAGAACCTAAGAGCAATGGCCTCCAACCCAAGAGCGATGGACCCAAAAGGCTCCGAAGCAAAAGCTAAAGGCTCTGGAGAGACTTCTATCCGAAGATTCCCACCCAATGGAGTCTCTGGCAAAGTGCACTTCCTTCCGGCAAGGCTTGTACCATCAGAAGAAGGTCCATTCCATCATGTCAAAACTTCAAACGAAAGTAGGTAGCTCGGCAGCTCACTCCCATTTTTTCAATTCAACAAAAAAGAAGAGGCTGCAGGGGCTTTTTGTTGGTGCTTTCTTTGAGGCCTTTCTGCTGCTTCAGCTACTGCCAGCCTTCGTGCTGGGCCTTCCTCCCCTTAAAGGCCAAGGAGCCGTGCAGCACCGTCCAGGGCTCCAGACAGTTGCAAAGACGAAACAACACAATAGAAGGGATGGCCTCCAACCTACTAGCGATTAGAACGAAGGAAAGAGTAATGAAAGAGCGCTGCTAAGTCGGTTTTCGGATGAAAATCAAAAGGCCAACAGTTGCAGCGTTGCAAAAGTCCCACTTTCTTACCGAAAACACAAAGCCCTAAGGCCCTAATGGCTCGAAGGGATGACAAGCGGTATGACATGTTCTGTCGGCAAACTTTCATGCCATCCAGAAAGTTCCACCAGGAATCTCTCGAAAGTATCGCTTCTAGGTTGGAGGCCGCTATTAGGTTGAAGGCCATCGGCAGAGCGGCCTTTAAAACGAGAAGCAGAGTGGCGGGCGCTTTGTACTCGGCGTGAGGAGTCCAGGCGCTCTTATGGGCCGCCTGCGATGTCACTGTGGCCTTTTCTGAGGCCGAAAGAGACGAAGAGATGGATAGAGATGAGGACGAATGCTCGGAGTAGCGTCCGATCGCTCCTAGTAGTAAGGCCAGGAGCCCCGTTCGTAGCGTCCGATCGCTCCCTTCGTAGCGATGCCCTTTGTTCCTAGTAGCGTCCTTAATCATAGACGGTGGTAGGTGGGTTTCAAGTTGCCTCCAGACCATGTTTGTTGTTTTGTTTTAGCCGGCCCTGCCTCGTGACTTGATGAAGTCGACAAGTAAGGGAGAAGTTCGCTCCTGGTTAGCTTCTAGTAACTGGACGTAGGATAGCTCACGCTTTTTCAAGGAAGCGCTCGTACTAGTCAGTTCCTAGTCTTTTTGCATCATTCGGTTCTCAAGAGAACTTTAAAGGATGTTTGACCGTATCTTGCAGTGTCCATCGAACTGCTAAATTCTTACAAGATAGATGCATGGATGAAGACAAAGCGTTGAGAGCTATTTACAACCTGGCTCTCCAGGTTGGGTTCAGAGATTGTCGTAGTTACTTCGTTGGCTGTTACGTCAGAAAGTAGCATGAGCATACAGCGGCGTGTGACCTTGTGACCACTGCGGAGGACGATGCAGCCGGTCGAGGATCGTGTTGCACTTCTCATTTGACATCTCAAGGGTGGCAGTACCCACGTGAAGAAAGAGAGCGCAGACAGTTGCAACAGCCCAGCTACAAGGGACAACTGCAGCTTTTATCCAAGTTCGCCAGCGCGTAGTGTAGTGGACAACACCATTCCACCTATTCCCTAGAGGAGCGCTGGCCATGTCAGATGCTTCTGAAAGTGGTCTGGAGCAGACACGTAGCGCTTTGATCGAGGCGCTGAAGCGTTCGCGAGAAACACATCAGAAGCTTGGTTTGCAAAAGGAAAAGCTTTTTCGTTGTGACTGGTAACAGCGGAAAGGAACAAATAAGCAAGGATAAAGGGAAGTTTGGCCTCTAAACACAAAAGGAGAACAAATAACATGAAGGAAACAAAAAAGATAAGGACAATACAAATATACAGAAACGGGTAAGAAGAAAGAGCTTTTCGATTTATAAGAGCGGCATATCTCAGGAAAAGGCGGCAGGCAGCCGAGGAAATAGCGGTACAGCTGGAAAAAAAAGTGGTACAGCTGGAAGAGAGCCTCAGGACCAGTGAGGAAGTGCTGGCCAATGAGCGTGCAAATTTGTCATGCGAAAGGAAGAAGCTTGATGCAGATCTTCAACTTTTTAAGAGCTCCTGGGAGGCCAAGATCGGGGAAAGCTTGGAACTTGAAGCTGCTTTAGCAAGTGAGAAAGACCAGCGCCAAAACGCCGAGAAGCATTTTCAGTCGTTCAAAAGCTCCTGGGAAAAGGAAAGGTCAGGGATTGAAGCTGCTTTAGCAAGCGAAAAGGACAAGCGCCGAAAGGCTCAGAGGCTGATTGACGATATGCTCCAGCAGAAAGCACTCTTGGAGGCCAATCTTGAACATGCTCAGAACCGCACTCTCCGATTGCAGCAAGATTTTGCCCCTATGGAGATGAGATTGAAGTCGCTTGTCGAGGAAAATGCTCGCTTGCAAGCTGATGTGCAAAAGCAGCAAGCTGATTTGCAATGGCGTTTGTCTTGCACCACCATGAGCCATGGTGCCAGTTGGCAGTACCAGGTAGAGGGGTCTTGGGAGAACATGCCGCCTCGGATGAATGAGAAGCTGCTGCCAGCTTATTTGGCATATCTTCATAAGCCCACCGAGGAAACCCGCTATGCTACCCTCGATTCTGGTGGCACTTGTCGCATCTATGACTTTGAGCAGATGCAACAAGTGAACTGGGAAACGCAGAAGAAACGCCAAGTTCGCATTGTAGCCGGAGTGCCTGAAGGGTGGGAAACCCCAGCTGCATCCCTGCTGCAGCAATGCTCTCACTTGCGGCCTTTATATGTAAAAGAAAGAGATCCACTTCTCCTTGCCAAAGTGCAGGACATCCTTACAGAACACTCATCCGGATGTTGCGGTCACATTATGCAGCGAGCGACTGTGATTTCAATGTATCGCATCGAAAACTATAGAGTCTGGCGAGGATACAAGGCAAGGCTTGAGGCTTTGAGGCAAGAGCATACCAGCTACAAGATTGCCGTGACACCAGCCGAGTTGAACACCGGCTCTTCTCACAGTAGTATCGCACGCAACCAATGCATGTTTGACTGCGGAGAGGCTTTAGCTGAAGATGTGGATGAAAAGATTCTTCTACATGGCACAACCTGGGACAATGCCGATTCCATAGTGATGAATGGGTTCGACAATCGGACATGCATTCGTGCCATGTATGGTGAAGGCGTCTACTTTGCTTCAGCTGCATGCAAATCTCACCAGTACACATGCCAAGCTCATGCGAAGGCCTGCTTCTGCAATCATGAAAGAACATTGATCATTGCACGTGTTGCATTGGGTGATGCTTTCTATGCCCAAGAGACCAGGCAGAATCAGCGGAGGCCGCCAGTGAGAAACCAAAAATTGGGGGACACCTACGACTCGATTGTGGTGAACCCTGGGCCAATCAAACGACATCCCCACGGCTCTCAGATTCATCAGGAGTTTGTCATTTGTGACAAGGGGCAGGCGTACCCCTGCTACGTGGTTCAGTACAAAATGTGAGCTAAGAAGCAAAGGATGACCTCCACAACACTTGCTTGCGATCAAATTGAATCGGTCAATAAAGGTTTCGGTCCGAACGATTGGACATGGAAACTTCCATTGTAAAGCATTGACCACCTTTGAGAATTTCAGGTGGTTGATGGTGTAAAGTCCTTGCAGCGTGGAACTCGCTCAACATGGTTTGATCTGGTAAAAGGATGCGTGCGGGCGTCCTATCCTATCAACATGGACTGAAGGTTCAGTTGTCCTTCGTCCAATTTGTTTTTGTTTGTTTTTGTTCCGAAACCTCACAGGTTTGATGAATGGATTTGGGGCTGGCAGATACATGAAATCTCACTGTCGAAGGCAGTCTTCGACCTGATCAATCTCAATGGGATGGAGCGCTTTTTGCCCATGAAACAGGCACTCGGTGGCAGGGTAGGTCGGTGGATGCTGAGCTGCTGGTGATTCACCGGGACTGGTGCCACTAAGGCCCGGACAGGTGCAATATAGTTTGCTATTAGGTGAACCCTCCGAATGTCAAACTTGAGAGCATTCAGTTGATCTTCAGTTGATCTTGACAAGTCCCTTCTGTCGCGCTTTATGTCCCAGAGGTTGATACTCGTCACTTGCACAAAGTTGAAAAAGGCACGCTTGGCAGGTTGACCTACCGCATAGCTGCTTTTTGTTTCACGCTCGACAGCTGACTGAAAATGAAAGAAATGTGACTGAGGTTCTTCATCAGAGAAAGGCCATGGCTATTAAGTTGGAGGCCATCGCTACTAGAAACAACAAAAGAAACGGATGATAGCTGTAATATAGTTTGCTAGTAGGAAAAGCTTGGATAGGGGAGTTTTTGGATTAGAGATCGTTAAGACAAATCCTGCAACTACCCAGAAGTGTCATACAGCAAGCCGTGGCATCGACTAGTCGTCACGTTACGACTTGAATACTTGGTGCCAACCTGATCCCCATGATCAAGAGGCCATGGCTATTAGGAGGGTTGACATTCGGAGGGTTCACCTAATAGGAAACTATATTACACCTATCTTAATTTTTCTGTTCTTTTTATTTGTTTCTAGTAGCAATGGTCTCCAACCTAATAGCGATAGCCTCCAACCTGACCCCGATGATCAGATCAGTTTGGTTTGCCTTGTTTGCCATTTTGGAACCCCAACCTGATTGAATCTATTCAGTTTGTGTCTCTTTTGCAATGGTTTGGCAGATTTGCTATTAGGTTGGAGGCCATCGCCTTTAGTAAAGTTTCTTCATTTTTACATATGTTTCTCTTTTATCAATTCGTCGCGCACAATGGTGTAGGTTCCTCCTTTCGAAGGCACGCTCACTGCTACAGAAGCCAAGGACTCACATGTCTTTCGGTTTCGTTTCTTGACCAAAAGGACAGGAAAGGCGACTGTCCAAATCATTGAACAATGGAATGGTTTCAAGTTGGGTCCGGTTGTGAATCGCTGCAGAGTGTAATCAAAAAGAGTGAAATTTGTTTGCCATGGCTTTTTTGCAGATTGGGGAACAGAACAGCAGCATGGGGATCCATTGAACTGCAGGGTCCATGTAGAATGGACTGTTGTTTGTTCCTGCGGTTCCCCTCCTTTCCCAAGCTTTTCTCGGCCACTGCTTCGCATTGCTTCGCACTTGGAGGAGTTGGGTTTGGTGTCTGAGATCGTGGAGGACGAGTGGCAACTTTGGAGGTCGATCGAAGAGATTTGCCGCTTGACGAAACGCGGAGATGAAGCAGAAGCGGCAGGAGCAGCAAGTGTTTCAGCCGTGAACGGACGAAACCCGCTGAATGTTTGCTTGCTGAAATCCACAGATGATGGGTATGAGCAGCGATACAGGCGTCATTGATTTGAAAGGATCACTCATAAGATAGATTGTTTTTTTGAAGGCCCAGGGTTGTATGGTTAGGCGCAAGGTGCTTTCCCTGAGGTGAAAAACTTTCAGAGTGCGCACCCACGGCAGTCTTGAGCCCAGCGGTGCCAGGGTGAATCTTGATCGCAGAGAAACTTGGCTCGCCAGAGGACATGGAGTCCATGGGTTAGGGAGGAAACTTCACTAAGGTGGTATTCTCTTGATTTGTTTATCTCAAGTGTTCACTTCTGAAACTCTTTCCAGATTCAATCCAATCCAGGAAAGCTCTCTCCAAAACGCGCCATGTGTTTATTTGCCTACATCATCGCAACCAGCGCCAGAGGTGGCACAATCCAAGATTTTCATCCACAAGGCCGGTCATGGATAGGGAGGTCACACAAGGGCTGAGGCAAAAGTCTTTCACATTTTGAGCATGTTAGGACAGCTGCCCTGAGGGAGTTGCCGTACTGTTTAGGGATTTAACAAGGCAACAACACAGGGGCTATGGTTTGTGTCGTGTGTGTGTGTGTGGGTGTTGCGATTGTTAGGATCTTGTGACCTTGCAGAAGCTTAGAATTGGAAGTAGAGGATAGCGTGCTCTAAACACAAGGCTTTGTGCATGGAGGGGAAGGAAAGATCCTGTTCAAAGTTCACCTTAAAGCCTTTGAAGAAGTATTGAATAGAAAAGAAGAAACAAAGAATGGAAATAAAGAATAGATCGATACAAGGAATTGGCTTTTTCTGCAAAGGATTTTTCAATATTTGTTCTTTAAAGCATTTGAAGAAGTTTTCTGCAAAGCAGTTGGGACTTGACCGGCAGTGTCGCCAAACGTGGGGGTCCGTTCAAACTCTAGAGGTGGGAAGCTTCCCCATGAATCTGCGGCTTCACGAAGACTTAGCCGGCCACATCGCCGCTTGGACAGGTAGGAGGTAGCTGCAGGTAGCTAGTAGCTAACAAGTAGCTACTACCGACTGGGCGCAGGATAGCTCACGCTTCTTCAAGCAAGCGCTCCCACTTATCATTTGGTTCCTAGATGTTCCGCAAAACTTAGCTTTGAACATGTCTTAAAGCGCCAGACCTTTCGCTTTTCACAAGGCCCCAAGCTCCATGGTCTAGCAAGGCATTGATTCCCGGTAATGTAGCTACTGGGAACATCGACAGACCCACCACTCAACAGATGGATCCATTCAGGGTTGAAAGTAGATTTTGCACGAAGACAGAAAGGGCATACACTTCTGAGATCATTTTGGCATGTTGGACCTCGCCAATGTTTGTTGCTCCATTGCATCGATACTGAGTATTCACAAAAATAAGCGGAAGTGACACATGACTCATCATGTCGAACAAATGGAGCATGGAAGTTGATATTTTCAGAAATGGAGGCCATTGCTAGTAGGATGGAGGCCTTTTGAAAAAGGTTTTCAGAAAAGTTTGTTGATTGTCCTCGTTCATGACGGACATCGCCTGCCGAGGCACGACGGATGGACGATCCGGAGTTCGAAGACTCCATCCGAGCGGTGCTGGACAAGGCCTTGTCCGAACAGATTCCAGGTTTGGGGCATGAGGATTCTATTTTTGCAGCAGTGGGTGGTGAGTACCTATCACCCATCACTTCGCTTATCCAAGAGATGGGATCACCAGTGTGTGTGTGTGTGCTGTCCGTAGAGAAAGGTCAATTATGAAGGGGGGCGCTTTGCCAGTGCAGGCGCATGTGCCAATCTACAGGCGGCCACAGAACAAAATCGTGCCTTGGTTGCAACAGGGGTCCACAAGACAGAGGTGTAAACAAACACAAATAAGGCAAAACCTTCAACATCCAATTGAAAGACATCCTCCTTTTTCCAACCCTCAGTTTGTTCGTTTTCATAATTGTTTATGCTTTCAGGTTCATGAGAACCGATGCAATTTCCGCAATCCTTTCTGGCAGCTTTCGGCACATGCCCAAAACTTGGTTCTGATTTGCGAGATGGACTTTTCTGAAGAGCAACGCCAGGTCCCTGCTCACCTCCTGAAGGTTGAGGAGAAGTTCGGAACGTTTTTCTTCGCTCAAAACGCCAACCCTTCAGAGAACCCTTCAGTGCTTTGTCCACCCCGATTCGGAAGATGGCCTTTCTACCCACAAAACGGAGCGAGCACGGACGAGTGGTGATTGGTCTAGGGATGATGGCACAATGTATGCTGTATCATGCGTCGTATTCACCGAACTTTGAACAAACAGTAAAACATTATAGTTTAATGGTTAAATGAATATGATGTTTGATTTCGTCAAATGAATGCACCTAGCAATCCAGGAGAAGAGGTGCCAGGAATGGAATGAGCCCGAGTGGCTGGAGGATGGAACGGTGCTTTGGATGGGTAGCGGGTAGCAGTTCGGATCTCCATCAAGTGCAAATTCTTGGAGAGCTCCTCTAGAAAACTTTGGAAAGCCAAAGGGATGTCCGGCCTTCAGATTTAAAGGTATGTTTTAAGAATTGGAGCCAGCATCGCGTTGCTTAAACTGCCAAAAAGATCAAAGGTTGAAAGATGGCAGCATGGTGCAAAATGGTGCAGAGGTCGTGTTTTGCTGATGTTTGTTTTGTGAGTTCTCCACTGACTTTCTAGAGCGAAAACAAACCAAGTCCTGGGACTAGACTTGGGGCCGTTTTGGTGGGTCTAAGCCTCCAACCTACTAGCGACGGGCGCGCGCGCGAAGAGGTCCTAGTAGCTTCTTGTTTCAATTCCAATTATACTAGGCTGAAATGACAAAGGACTTGTGAAAACTACCTCCAAATTGCGGCGGCTAAGTCATGAAGGTTTAGCCTACCCCCCACAAGTATTTATGTCATGACTTAGGACTTGCCCTGGGAAAGTTGTATGTCATTTCGACCCAATTGGCCTAAGTCATCTCACCCTAGTATAAATTCAAATTCTATTGAATTCTTGTTTCGAATAGCTTCTTGTTACTAGTAGTAAGGCCAGGAGCCCCTAGTAGCTTCTTGTTCCTAGTAGCGATGCCAGGAGCCCCTAGTAGCATCCTTGCTCCTAGTAGCGTGATGAATTCTCCTAGCAAATGGTTCCTGACTTTTCCTGAGCGCTGTCTCCTTAGCTCGCTGAGGTGCTGGTTTGACCTCGGCAGAAAAGCGCGTGTGCGAAGTGGAAGATTCGGCCGAGAATCTCAAAGACTCTTAAGCGTGTTCCTGGGAAACCTTCCACCAAAAGTGAAAAGCAAGTGTCGTCATCTGATGTTTCTCAAGAACAAGGAGGTTTGGAGGGGCCATTGTAAGTTTTTTCGCTCGAATCTTTGAGTGCTGGCATATGATAACTTCTTTGCATGAAAGCTGAAACTAATAGCCTCCAACCATACAGCGAAAGAAACCTACTAACCTCCCTTATGAGGCTTATGTGTACGATGTCGGTATTTTCAAAACGTCTAGATTTGACAGGCTCGGCCCAGGAGGCAGAGTGGCGAGGGTGGCGAGGCGAGAGTTGGCGGACATGGTCATAGCAATAAGGAATTGATGTGGATGGGTGCAAAGTACCCAGAATGTGAATTTGTGGATTTTAGTAACTCTTCCACCAAGAAAAAAATCAACAAGAAAGTCCCGAAAGCGACAAGAAAACGACAGGGATCAGAGAAAGTTGGCATCGGTTGTGTGTCACCAGGTAACGCGTTCTACCAGCGAGGCCTGGCCAGCCTTCGCGCGGAGCCTCGGAAAGAGCTGTGCTTCCAGTGGCAAGGAAATTGGTTGTTTTCGAAACAACTTCGAGAGAACTCCAATTTTGTGGCGGCCATCGCTACTAGGGTGGAGGCCATCGCAATTAGGTTGGAGGCCATCGCTATTAAATCTTACATCGCTTCGGAAGAACTGCTCTAATTTTGTTCCTAGTGGCTTCCTTGTTCCTGGTAGTAAGGCCAGGAGCCCCTAGTAGCGTCCTTGCTCCTAGTAGCGATGCCCTTTGTTACTACTGGTGGAGCACACCTGACCGGAACCGAAGGCTCCCACTGAGACAATGACCTCCAACACAGGCACAGCTTGAGGGTGGGATGAGCGGGAGTTGCACATGAGGATAGGACAAAATCTATGGTTTGGGTTGGCCCCCACCAATTGTTCCATGTATAGGGCCAAACATGGCCTTCTCCAATACATAGGTTCTGTAACCAGAGATTTGGCCCATTGATCATATCTTGGAATGCTGCGATGTGATTGGCACGATTTGGTGGAAAAGAGGAGGAAACAGGCAGTTTTGTGTCCAAACGTTCTGCGAAGCCTTTCAGTTACCCTCTACAAGCAGCAAGAATGAATCCCTTGAGTGACCCAAGGTTTGGCCGCAAAAAGGAAGATTGGGTTTGTGTAAATCATTTCACACCGTGAACAGTAAGCCAACGAAAAGAAATTCAGCTGAAAGGATAGACAGGGCATCAGAGGGAACCCTGCTATGTATGTTCCACAATCTACCCATTGCTAGCTGTCCCTCATGATTTCTTTCCTTTTGCACTTCTGGATCAGTGCCAAAATTTTCACAATCATGAAACGTCCCTTTCGTTCAGTTCTTGTGGTCTGGATCATGGATTTGGACACATTTTGTAAAGACGAGATTTATCCCGGAGATCACCATTTACCTGTCACTTTTTCTGCCAATAATTTTGCGTCAAAGCTGCAGTTTCCTGATGCGTTTCAGCATGCTCAGGTGCCAGTTAACTGCCTCATCACCCACGGTCATGACAGAGCGAGGGCTGTGGCCTGTAACTGCTTGTTATGAGAATGATATGTTGCTTGTAATTGCCAGTTAACCTAACAAAAATGCAGAATTGAGAAATAGGCCGATTTTCTCTTCGCTGCTCTGCTTAGAATGCAATGTGATCCTTAGCGAACGGCCTTAGCGCTGTGGGAATGAACCACCGGCTCCAATGCTTTCCGCCCCGGAAGCACCAAAGTTCCCAGACACGGCAGCAGACGGCTCCAACCTAGAAGCGATGGCCTCCAACCTACTAGCTTCTTTGGGTCTTTCCGTCGCTTCTGGGGCAGTTTCCCTTTCGCCGTTGCACTCGTGTGAGTTCTGGCGACTGGACCGACTTGGAGGAGCATGCCCACTCATGCCACAAGACCTGACAAAGACTGTGATTAGTTCTTGTGGCGAAAAGAAAGATAATGAAAGAAAGGTCTAAAGGAAATAGGATAAGAATAAAGTTCTGTTGTCAGGGCAGTCCTTCTTCCCGTTTTGCTTTGCGATGTCGTTGGCAACACAGTGCAGATGCTCATCCATCAAAAGAATCAGGATTGCACACGGATTCAGATGTTGTTTGCAAATAGGACCAGACTATACTATAGTATACTATAGTTCCGTTCGATGGCTTTGCTTTTTTGCCGCGATCCTGGATGACTCTCTGAGCATCAGAGATGCCTTGGAGATTTGCATAGCGACCCGATGAGACACAATAGCTCTTAGACGAGCTGGAGCCAGAAAAGTCGAAGGCTCTGCACACTCTGCATCACCCTTTCTGTTCATTGGCTTTGAGCTAGCAGGTCATACTTTCCACCCCTCAGTTGGAAAGGCTGGATAGCATTGAATTAGTACGAAAGTCATAACACCACCGCCGAAAGAACAACGGAAGTTCTGGTTTGGCAGGTAGGACGATATGGCCTCAACCATTCTGAATACCGAAAATGCTCACTCAAATGCTTCCAATGCTTCTCAATGCTTTCCATGTATTTGGCCGAACTCCGCAGCACTTGGCCCTGGAGATAGATTGACGAAGTTATCCGAGACTGCACGAAGTAGGATGCCAACAGGGGTTCTTGCTCAGCCCTCAGATTGGCACCCCGTGTGGGAGAATGCGCGGCCTCTTTTTCCTAGCATTCCCAAACCTACTACCTTTTCGGTCCACATCACTCTTCCATTCCGCCTGACGAGTGAAAACAAGAGTATTTTTAAGGTTTACACGGGCTTTTGTCTCAAAGGCTTCGGATCTTGGACTCAAGGTGCTTCTGATACCACAAATCTTGGACTCAATCAGTCGGAATTTGGAATCCCCGAAGTTGACAGCTTCAACGCAACAAAGCAGGTGCGATGGAATAACGAGAAAGGCCCGGGCGGCTTAGGTGGCTTCAGCTATTTTGGCACCACATTTTGCCTAGCGAAGTAGTCGTATGAAAGAAGTGCATTTTGGGCATTTGAGCCTTTAGAGTTCCGCGGCTTCTTTGAAGCCTCTTTGGGTCTGAAAACTCTCAGTGCCACCACCAGTGCTTCCAAGATGAACCTGCACCTTCAACTTAAGTTGGTGGTTGTTCATCAATTTGTAAGCTGATTTCACAAAGTTATAGGTCTGTTTCTTAATGTCCAAGAAGTCGAAACTAGCATGACTGCAAACTGTTCGTCTTCTTGGTAAATGGCTTTTAGTATCAGACGCAAAATGTGTCGTTGGTAAAGTAGCTTTGGTTCTTTGTTTTTTCGCATTTTTGCAGAGATGATTTCTGCACCGCGCTCGAGGTTTCGGATTCATTCAGCCCCAGGACAATAGCGAGGACTGCCCTGGTGGCCGACATTTTTCTCTTGTAGAGTACAAAAGAAAAGGAAAAAACGTTTTGGGTCGAATTTCTCAAGATGGACAACTCTCATCCCAAAATGGCCTTCTTGAAGATGAAAGACTCCACAAGTGCTGCATCTTTGCCAGACAATGCTACTTTGAAAAATGTGAACCTTTTCAATGTGCCATGCGAGAGCATCACAACACTATGTCGGCAAGGTGCAAGCATGACAACGCCACAACAAGCAAGAGTGAGGAAACCGACAGCATGACCCGCATTTGAGTTTCACAACGTGGCAGCTCTGTTAGCGAGACCCATGTCAGCGTTGCAGCATGACAACGTGTCAGCATGACAGCCTGATAATACGTCGGCTCGACACAATCCCAGCACATCAGCACAACAGCATTCTACACAACACGCTTTCATGCGTGACAACATATTAGCATGACAACCTGCCAAGCATGACATGTCAGCATACGCCATTACTTTTTTAAGCATTGTTTTTTTTCTCTAGGCCTGCTCAGTGCATCTGCAAAGTGCTCTGGAAGTGTCATGCTCCCAAACCTGCTCAGGAAATGCTCCGGGACCTGCTCCGAAGTCTAGTTTTGCTGGGAATAGCTTCGCTGTTGGGTAGAAAAGGTATGAAGAAGTAACCAAGAACAAAGCATGAATGAATGAAGGTAGAAAAAGCAGGGAAAACATGGGGAGAAGTGAAAACTGTGAAGAAGGGAAAAACTGTGAGAAAAGTGAAGTTTAGAAGGCTCTTTCAGCAGTTTTCGCACTTTCGGCTGTTTGGAGGATGTCTTCTGTCATGTCTCGGACCTCCAAGATGGCGAGGGTAGCGTGCAGGAGGCTTGGTTGGGGTCACCCCGACCGACATGCACCAGCCAGAGGTGTGGCACGTGATCGAAGGGTTTTACTCTTGTTTGCATGGTGCATCGTTGAATCATGTTGCTCCTAGTAGCGATGCCCTTTGCTCCTAGTAGCTTCTTGGTTCAAGCGGGAGTCGAGTGTTTCCGGCTTTCAGGGGGACTATGTGCTCTACAGCGAGAAGTGGGACAATCGCAAGGCTCTGCCGAACATGTTATGCTGAAGAACGGTGTTTGGACGTCACAGATGGCACGATCGACTTTTGGGGTTTGAGTCAGCATCCTTTTTGGTTACTTTGCTGGATGAAAGGTAGGAGAGCCTCTGGCTGCAGCCACAAGCTGCTGAAATGGTTGTTGCTCTTTGTCTCAAATATCAACCGTAGCAGCTCTGGCAGGGGAAGTGTCGCGTCGCTTTTTGTTTGCTGTCTTCGCAGGGGAAGTACCGAGCAGCGGAAGTAGAGCTAAGTGCCCCTGGCGAGCTCGCTGAGATCAGCGCCATCCGGAGGAGAGACAAAACTGCAAGCCTAAGAGATTAAGTAAGTGCTTCTGTCTTGCTTTAAAAGGAGACCAAGAGCGATGGCCTCCACCTAATAGCATCCTTGTCACAAGTTGCCAGTTGCGTGATGAGAGTGAATTGACTTTTAGAAGGGAGGTAATGATCCAGGTAATTGGCTGCAAGAGATTGCCGGTGCAAACGCTGGACGGCTCCAACTTGGATTGATTTCTTTTCCTTCCTTTCGGAGTGAAGTAGGAACTCGCATCTTCCACTCTGATGAGGACAACTTCACGAAGCATGTTGGAAAGCTGCGCTAAAACTCAGAACTTGTTCAACTTCCGAAACCCATATAGTTTTCTACATCTAGGGTCACACTGAGGGTAAGGTGTTCACGCTTTGGTGCATTTTGATGGAATCAAAACGAAGCCACTATGTGAGGAGGAGGAAAGAAACTCGCGACAGAGAAGGGCGCGACAGAGAAGGGCGAGACAGACAAGGACGAGACAAGAGTAGAGGACGCAGTGGCTAGATTGCACTAGATGCGGATGATAGAAGCTGTAACAAAAATGCATCTTCAAAACATTGAGATGATATCTTGGTAGATCGTATTTTGGCTTCTCAGTGTCTTGGCACTGAGCCCTCGAAGAGCTGCTAACCTCTCTGTTAGGCAATGATCGTGGCGACCGCGATCGGGATCGTGCAGCTTGGCATAAGCATCGTGCAAGCATCACCAAGCACAAGAGAGTGACTTCGAAAGAGGATCTAAACGCAATTTGAAGTGAAACAGCCTTAATGCATTTGGATTGGTTATAGTCTAGCAGCATCCAGCTCATTTTCTTAGGCCAAAGGAGACTCCACTGCGACGAAGGCCTCGCGGACAGGATGTGAACCCTACCAGATTCACCAAAAAGGTACAGAATCCGAAGAGAAGTGAGGTTGACAAAGCAAATCGAAAGCCGAAGGAACCAAGAAAGGAAACGGAAAGGGGCCGCTTCAATCGGGATGCAGTCAGGGTCACGACGGCGACCGGGGAGAGCGCCGCCGCCGAAGCAAAAGCTGGAGCCCAAGCCCTGAGATTGGTCGAATGATCCGCGGCCGCAATCCGCAACCAACTGATCAGAGAAAAGGAATGAAAAGAGTTTTGCTTTGTGTTTTTGTTCCCTTTGAAACTTTTTCGTTAGTTTGTTGGCAAGTTGGCCACTCTGAACAGACCCCTTCACCTATTCTTGTTGTCTTTTTGGTCCACTGTTGCCATTCCTAGATTTTTTGGAAAACTAAGCAACAAAAACAAGTCAGATTTGCTAAAGGGTTATCGCTGCTAGGAACAAAAAGAAACTAGACGACGAGTGGCCCGAAAGCATTTTTCATCACGTAGGAAGTCAGAGTGCGAGTTATCTGTTAAGTGTGCAGTGTGAAGTGTTAAGTCGAGTGAGTTGAGGTAGTGTGTGGGTTTCTGTGCGTGTATCTATGTCCGTGTGTATATGAGTCTGCGTATGTGTGTGTTCGTGTAAGTTGAGGCAGTGTGTGGGTGTCTGTGTGTGATGCGGCCTCCCAAACCCCCCACCGGCGGCCAAGCGGTGACAGCCCAGCTCATCGTCGTGAGCATTTGGGCTGCTGGTAAGGAGAGAAGCAGCCTGCACGCCTCCAGGAAATCTCACTGAAAAAAGCAAGCTGGAATGAAGCGTACTAAAGTTGCACTACAAAGTCGCCAGTTCTCATCTTCCAGCTCCACAGATTGCTCCGCGCACTAAAAAGTTCTACTACCAGGTCGCCAGTTCTCATCTTCCAACTCCCCAGATACTCCACGTACTCAAGTTGTACTACCAAGTCACCAGTTCTCATCTGGCCACTCTCCAGATACTCCGCGTACTAAAGTTGTACTACCAAGCCGCCAGTTCTCATCTTCCAGCTCCCCAGCTACTCCGCGGACTACAGTTGCACTACAAAGTCGCCAGTGCTCATCTTCCAGCTCGCCAGATACTCCGCGTACTCAAGTTGTACTACCAAGTCGCCAGTTCTCATCTTCCCACTCCCCAGCTACTCCGCGCACTAAAGTTGTACTACCAAGTCGCCAGTTCTCATCTTCCAGCTCCCCAGCTACTCCGCGTACTAAAGTTGTACTACAAAGTCGCCAGTTCTCAGCTTCCAGCTCCACAGCTTGCTCCGCCGCTACAGTTGTACTAGAAACTCGCCAGTTCTCAGCTTCCAGCTCCACAGCTACTCCGCGTACTAAAGTTCTACTACAAAGTCGCCAGTTCTCAGCTTCCAGCTCCACAGATTGCTCCGCGTTGCACTACAAAGTCGCCAGTTCTCATCTTCCAGCTCCCCAGCTAGTCCGC